ACCATTCACACATCAAGACTTGTGCTGGGCTTCAGTGAATAACGGGTGGGAACATTTGCCAATGTTACATTCCTCAATACAGCACCAGTGAGGACAGTTCTGGCCTTCCTCCTCCCACTCAGAATTCAGCGCCGTTTAAAATCTAGATCCTCCCTCTGGAGCACAGCTCAGCCCTCAGCTGGTGTGAAGTGAAAAATGTTAAATGTACCCTGGAGGTTTAATTAACAGCTTGACAATTTTTCACCATTAGTTTTGAATAGTTGCAAAGTGTTGGCTGTTTTACCCCAAGATCCCTGCAGTGAGCTTGCTCACTTCAATATTTTTCAGCATGTATGAAAATTCCTAGTTAGTTCAGGTTGCCTTTTGGTGAGATGATGAAGCAGAAGAAGTGATGAACTGGAAATAAACGTATCTTCAAAATGCAGTCGATGTGCGTTACAAATTATGCACATTTTGAAGGAACGACAACAGCTTCCAGAGGCAAACAGCTGCTCAGTGCAAACTGGGGTTTCTCTTACAGCTTTCAGGATGTATAATGTGATTATATACTTCCCAAAGGAATCCCACATCTTTTTGGGAACATTAAAATTATTAATTTGTTAACCTGATGTTCATTCAAACAATACTTCCAATATGTCTTTAACCATTTAAACAGGAATTTTCCCTCTGCTTCATTGGCAACTGACAAATAGATAAACACAGTTCACTTGGATTTTTAATATGGTAGAACCTATTGCTGTATCCATTTATTCCCTTAGTTTCTCTCCAACCTCTTGTAAAAAGGACATTTTTATTTAAAAGCCATTAGTGAATGTTGTCAGAGATAGTAGGAACTGCAGATGCTGGAGAATCTGAGACAACAAGGTGTAGAGCTGGATGAACACAGCAGGCCAAGCAGCATCAGAGGAGCAGGAAAGCTGACGTTTCGGGCCTAGACCCTTCTTCAGAAATGGGGGAGGGGAAGGGGGATCTGAAATAAATAGGGAGAGAGGGGGAGGCGGATGGAAGATGGATAAAGGAGAAGATAGGTGGAGAGGAGACAGACAGGTCAAAGAGGCGGGGGTGGAGCGAATAAAGGTGAGTGTAGGTGGGGAGTTAGCGAGGGGATAGGTCAGTCCAGGGAGGATGGACAGGTCAAGGGGGCGGGATGAGGCTAGTAGGTAGGAGATCGGTGTGGGAGGAAGGACAGGTTAGGGAGGCGGGGACAAGCTGGGCTGGTTTTGGGATGCGGGGAGATTTTGAAGCTTGAAAGTCCACATTGATACCACTGGGCTGCAAGGTTCCCAAGCTAAATATGAGGTGCTGTTCCTGCAACCTTCGGGTGGCATCGTTGTGGCACTGCAGGAGGCCCAGGATGGACATGTCGTCTGAGGAGTGAGAGGGGGAGTTGAAATGGTTCGCGACTGGGAGATGCAGTTGTTTGTTGCGAACCGAGCGTAGGTGTTCCGCAAAGCAGTCCCCAAGCCTCCACTTGGTTTCCCCGATGTAGAGGAGGCCACATCAGGAACAGTGGATACAGTATACCACATTAGCAGATGAACATCTGTGAAAGTTGTCAGCCTGGTGAAGCTACAATCCAGGATGACTTACATGCCAAACAGCGAAAGCAGCATGCAACAGACACAGCTAAGCGATCCCACACCAACTGATCAGATCTAAGCTCTGCAGTTGTGCCACATCCAACCGCGAATGGCGACAGACAACAAAACAGCTAACAGGCGGAGGAGTGTTCACATACAATATCCCAATCTCAATGATTGGGGAGCCTAGCATAATAGTGCAAAAGACAAAGGTGAAGCATTTGCAACCATTTTCAGCCAGAAGTGTCAGATGGATGATCCGTCTTAGCCTCCTCCCGAGGACCCCAACATCACAGATGTCAGTTTTATGCCAATGTGATGCACACCACATGACATCAAGAAACAGCTAAAGGTTCTACCTAGTGGCAAAGGCGAAAAAAGATTTGGGCTCCAGAATTAGCAGCACTCCTAACCAAATATTTCCAATACAGCCACAAGGCTGGCATCTATCTGACATTGTAAGGAATTGCCAGGTATGTAATGTCCACAAAAAAGGAGAGCAAATCCAATTCAGGCAATTGCTGCCCCATCATTCTAATCATTAGCAAAATGATGGAAAGTTCATCAACAGTTATGTTCAGGAATAAATTGCTCCCTGATATTCAATTTGGTATCTTCCAGGGCCACTTTGCTTCTGACCATATTATAGCCTTGTTCCAAACATGTATAGGCAAGCTGAACTTCGGAGATGAGGTGAGAGACACCACCCTTTAAATCTAGACAGGATTCAACCAAGTATGCAGCAATGACTGCAGTCAAAACTGGAGTCAATGGGAATACGGGGAATATTCTCCACTGGTTAGAATTATACTTCCCACAAAGGAAGATGTTTGTGGTTGAAGTGGGGATGCTCACTGATGATTGTGCAATGTTCTGTATTATTGGCAATTCCTCAGATGCTGAAGTAGATCATATCTATACTGAGCAAGGCCTGGACAACATTCAGGCTTGGGTTGACAAGGGGCAAATAATATTCACACCACTCAAATGCAATGTTCCCGACAAGCTATGCAGAGGTTTCGCACATGCTGATTGATGTGCCAATGTCATTCCCAGCATTGACTTCTGCTTTTGGAAGCTGCTGCCACATACAGAACATGGAGGTCCAGGTAGCAGAAAAAAATACTTAGAGGGAGTATTGCTCAAGTGCCAGAAAACATTCACCTCCAATTCTGGAGAATCTGTCTCCTCGTGACATCCAATATAATTACCATCACTGAATCCCCCACTATCAACACCCTGGGTGTTACTGTTGACCACTAACTGAACTTGATTGTCCATATAAGTAACATGGATACAACTGGTCAAAGTCTGGGAACTATGTGGCTCCTAATTCCCCAAAGTATTTTTGCCATCTATCAGGCACAGACTAGGAATATGATGGAATGTTCTCTGCAAACTCAGATGAATGCAGCTCCAATGACACTGAAGAAGCTCATCATCAAGATCAAAGCAGCCTTCTTATTGGCATCCCATCTCCTAACTTCAAAATTCCTCCCCCCTTCCTCCAATGTCAATGCATAGTAGAAGCAGTGTGTACATTGTAAAAGATACGTTGCAGCAAGTTACAAAGGCTCCTTCAACAGCAAGGTCTACCATCTAGAAGGACAAGAGCAGTAGAGGCATGGGATCACCACTACCTGTATGTCATCCTTCAAGCTCTCCTCCCACACACAACTATCGGAACATTTGATTTAGGATCAGAAGGAGACCATTTGGCTGCTCAAGTCTACTCTGCCATTCAATAAGATCATTGCTGATCTGTTTGTGTTTCAAATTTCACTCTCCCTCTTACAAGAACACTTAAATCCCTCAACACCTCAGAATTCTTCAGTCATACTCTATTTAAGTACTACCTTCCTGCCAAAATAAACTATTTCACATTTTCATGTTATACTCCATCTGCCAGACTATTGCCCACTAACCTCCCTATATTGGTCTGCAAACTTGCTATGTTCTCTTTTGTAACATTCCTTTCTATCAATCTTCGTATGGTCTACCATTCCTTCACTCTCCTCAGCCATGTCATTGATATAAATCGTAAAAACATTGAGGCCCCATCACAGATCCCTACGAGACCACTCTTGTCCCATCTTGCCAATAAGAAAAAGAGATTTATGCAAACTTCGCCATCTTAACCAACTATATCACTGTTTCCTCCAGATCAAATTTATAGCCAGATCAAATTCATGGAAATCCCTTCCTAACATTACTGGGAGTATACTTTCACCAATTCAATGTGTTAGCTTCTACACCATCACCTTCTCATGGTCAATTAAGGATAGGCATTAAATATTGGCCTTGCCAGCAATGCCCATATTCCACAAAAGTACAAAATATTATAAATGCAGGTAGATGTTTGTGATGCAAATATATTTAGGCCATGAGTGTATACAATATAGACTGATTACAGTAAACTTTCAAAATATATTCTCAACAATGTTGAATATTTGAACTAAGGTCAGGCTACTCTGGACAGATGTCACATTGGATATGCTAGAACATCTAGACAAGTGCTATATCAGGTACATATTACTGAATGGGCCTGTATCACATCAAATGCAAGATAACAGAAGGGGAAATGCTGTAGCAGCTGGGTTAGAACACACTGGAACTATGCATTTCAAGAGTATTAGTTCCAAACCCAGTGAATATTCATCTCCTGTTCAGATTTGCTAGCTAACCAAAGGCCCAATGAATTGGCTGCCTCTGGTGAATGGACAGGAAAGTCCCCAAGCCATCCATGTGTGCTGGTACACATACTTTGTGCCAATACCAGGTTATCCACCCAATTAGCAACATTTAGGCCTCGGTTTCCTCCAATTCAGTCAACTTTGTATCCATCCTGCTGCTGTCCCTTTATTCCATGGATTTCCTCTTAGAAGGCAAGCTTAATATGTGGCACTTTATCAAGTAGCTTTTGGAATGATATCATGTTCATCACATCAACATCAGGCAAGGGACTCAATATTTGATTCAGGGATTGTGTAGTCAAGTTGGGCAATGTCTGGTCCGGTTTGGAGAGTGGGGTCTTCGGATCAGGGAGATTGAGAGAGATGTGGTGGGTTGAGTTACGCTGTTAATCACTGAGTAACACCAGAAATTAAACATTTTAAATGATTCTAGGGTAAATTTCCAGTGATACGTATCGAGTCCATGTCTCTGGCACTCAGATCAATCATTTCAAGAGATATTCACAATGTGGCTGGGACAACACAGATCAGCTCATTGGAAGTTTAAGTTTCCCAGGTACTTACAGCAGTTGTGCCCCTGACAGAGCTTCCACAGGGTTCTGACACCCAGCAGTAACATACGTGTTGTGTATCACAAATCCTCACAATGGAAGATGTGAAACACTTCCCCCTTCAACAAATCCATGCGGGCTTCAGGTACCTACTCCACAAGAATTTGCTCCTTTACCTCTCTTCTTGTTTGATACCAGGTCTCCTGGTTTTGTTGGAGACTGTGGAGCCACGGAATGGGAACCAGACAAAGCTTTTGGTTTTGACTTGGTTGTAGTTGGTCTGTTGGGCGGACATTTAGCATCATGAAGAAGCTGTTCTGTTGGCTCTAAAGGCAGCTTTTCCTCTTCAGGACTCAGGCCAACTAGAAAATGGTTGAAAGTTAACAAATTCAGTGCTGGTTACCTAAATAGAGGCAGATTATAATATGTTTGAGTATGCATCATAGGTTACAGCAACCACGACCACACACTAAGCTATTTATTATCATAAAAATCTAGTTTAATTTGTAATAAATTCAGCAAAATACCTTCAATGGTTGAAAGCTGTTAAGTTAACTGACCACCTATGATGGAAAAGTTTAATCTTACCATTTCCTGCTTTATTTTTTACAGTGACAGAAATATTCATTTGAAGTTGGTGTTGGACCAGTTTACTTCATGTTGGAGATCGAGAAAAGGTTCCCAAGCCTATTATCTGTATATGTCACACACTCAGACATTTGCTGATGCGAGGACATATTTTCAAAGCAGGATGCATTCTGGGTCCCAAATGCAGTCACATTGCTCTCACCACACTGTTCTTAAATATATGTCCAAATTGGTGCAGGAAACGAGTTCAGAACCGATTAAAGGTGTTGGCCACTTGGAGGAGGCTGGAACTGCCCTCTTGCAAATGCAGATGATGCTGCCTTATCCAAGAGAACAGGTAACACCTTACAGGCCTGGTAACCATGGAACAGCAAAGAGGCAGCACACAGACAAAATGAAGGCCCAGCGCTCCCATTGGGCTTAAGTACAAAAACGAGAAACCAATTTCCGCATGAAGACATTTTAATTGGTATGATAGGCAGTGTTGCTGAGACTATGAGGGAGAGTTTAATGTTAGGTCTCACTCTTTTGACATACAAAGCTGCTCCCCCGACCACATCCTTAAACATCATCATCTTTGGTGGTGCTGAATACACTTCTCAGCTTGAACCCTTCCAGACCCTTACACCCTCCTACTGCAACTATGTAGTGAAAATGTAATAGTAATCAACAGGCTCAGGCTAATGTGCTTGAGGACATGGCCTGAAACTCCACCAGCTGATGGAATTTGAATTTGAATATTAAATCCGGAATGGTAAGTGAATTTCAGTAATGGTGACCATAGGACATGTGCTAACGTGCACAAAATTGTTTGCAATCGCCAACCCTAAGATGAACATTTCCATTCTGCACTAGGTAAGCCCCAAAGCTTTTTAAAGAGCTTAAGTGGCTATTAATTGGTGGCCTGCAGGTTTCCTGCTCTTTTCCCCACTCACCTCTCACACTTGGCTGGACCTTTGAAAATCCCTAATTGTCCCAGAGACAACCAAATTCTGGGACCTCCAGGACCAGGATTGTGAAATTATCACCCTGCAGCCTTTGGAAAATCAAACCCATGACATTGGTGTTATACAAGTCCAAGGTAAAAGCAGAATTTTAATTTTTGTTTATAAAAACCCATTCATGTACAGTCATAACAGAGGCTAGGGAAGTGGTCTAGTTTACCAAATCTCCAGCTGTCTATCCCATGGGAACCCTGTGTTCCACATTTTTGGTGTATAGCTGTGCGAAATACATTGGACAGACATGATCTCATTTACAATTGGAGGGAAGAGGCTGTTGAATTTATGACAAACGAGATTTACAGGGTTACACAGGCCTGTATGACGAGGAATGAAATTAGTTTTGGACTATAGTGTCAAATACAGGTAAAGCACATTACAATAACAGGCCATGTCACTCATTAGCCACTTGAATTTTGAATTGGCTTCAATGAGAGAGAAAATCTGGCAGGCTGCGAAACCAACTACCAATTCATATTCACTCATTTTAAGCTACTGACCAAAACCAATCAGCCCCCTTGGTTTCCTCTACAGAACAGTGTGAAAGAATACATACATTACTCAACCTCTTTGTTGGAGATTTTGATCCAAATTTGCCATGATGATATCCCACCATGTTCAGCTAATCCAACATTCACTACTGAGAATGAGACACTGAGAAACAATCGCAGTGAGAGTGAGAGACTGAGAAAGAATCACAGTGAGAGTGAGACACTGGGAAACAATTGCAGTGCAAGTGAGACACTGAGAAACAATCGCAGTGCGAGTGAGACACTGAGAAACAATCGCAGTGAGAAAGAGTGAGATATTGAGAAACAATCGCAGTGAGAGTGAGAGACTGAGAATCAATCGCAATGAGAGTGAGAGACTGAGAATCAATCGCAATGAGAGTGAGACACAGAAACAATTGCAGTGAGATTGAGAGTGAGAAACTGTGAAACATGACTACAATGGTAGAGTCTGCCATTGGCTTATTGAACGGACTGCACATTCTCAGCAGCCCAAGTGTTTTCTTTTTTAACATTGCGCTTAAACTGTTACAAATCTTGTTCTCAGATGCTGTCCAAATTTCTTCTATTCTTGTCTTGTATTCTCTTGACAACTTGAACAAACAGAACAATACTGCACATCCTTACCTGTTTTATCAGGTGCCTGCAGCTGATGCAACTTCAGGCTTGCTGCTGCCTTCTCATCATTGGAAACAATCTCCATCCTTTCACTAAGAGAATCCACTGAGGAATCATCATTGGCTGAGCCATTGGCATGGTAGCCATTCAGCCCAGCTTTGGACAGGGGGAGATCTACATTCTCTTCCAGTCCACCAGGCCTCACCCTCTCTTCTTTCACCTGGCCACCTGGCTGTTTTGGTTTTCTTTTCCTTTTCTTATTGTGCTAGGTGTTAGATTATTCAGATTGTTAGATTATTCATATTGTCAACCAAAAGAAAAATACAATTTAGCACAACACTTCCGTGCTTCTCAGTCTTACCTTCCTTTTACCTGGCACATTCCATTCTTTCAAAATCTCCACTGCACTACCTGTCAAAGAACATGGAGGAAACATCAACAATTGTATTTCCTGTAGAAACAAACTAAAATTAGCAGGAATGTAGGGGAAATAGGATTGAATAAAATGAAGGGAAAAAAGCATTGCCTTTACAGTATTACAGTCCTTCAGTCCTTATTTATTCAGCAGTATTCATTCTAATTACTGACCCAGAATTTCCATGGAGCTATTCCCACTCCACTGTTATAACTGTGTTGAGTTGCAGTGAAAATCCTGCTTATACATCTCAACAGAGTCTCTACACTACTGCATTTCTGGCTAACTATTAGTGGTGGAAGAACAACCGAGCTACAAAAGTTAAATTAATACAGATGTGGTACAAGAGGAGGTCAGAGAGTTAACAAAGTGTGAAGTCACACAAGATTTTGAAAGCAAAATTTTAAAATCTCAAGATTGCTTTACTGGATACCTTCATAGGTTAGTGAACACTAGGGATCACGGGTGAATGAATGTACATTAGAACATTGGTAGTAGGGCTTTGTGTGACCTCAAGTGTCAGGAGTTGAGAATGTGGCTAGGAACATGTTGGAATAGTCAAATCTGCAGGCAACACAAGGCATGAAGGTCATCTTGGGACCAAGCAACAGTAGGTTTATCGACAACTTGGTTCAACCTCAGATTGCTGTCAAGGAGAGGTTTAGATTCAGTGATGATGGAATGGAGTGTTGTGGGGAATCATGAAAACGGCTTCAGTAATCCCAATATTGAATCATAGGAAATTTCAGCTCATCCAATACCAGATGTCAGTAAACAGCCTGATCATTTGGAGGCAGTGCAGTAGCTGAGAGAAGAGCTGGTGAAATAGACCTGGGATCATCAGGGTACTTGTGAAAGCTGATGTGGTTTCAAATGATGTTATCAAGAACATAGATGAGAGATAGGAGGGAACCAAGGATTGGGCCTTGAGAGATACCAGAGCTAATGGTGTAGGAGCAGGAAGAAAAGCACGTGATTGTCAGTCCTTGAATAGATCTCACACAGTGGGATAAAAGTGGGAGGCATTGGAGGAGGATGGTTAGGTCAACTGTACCAAAGGATGGAGACAGGTTGAGGAGGGGAAACCTTTTCTTTATCACAGTCATGAAGGATAGCACCTGTGACTGATAGGAGCTGTTTCTCTACTGTGACTGGGCAGAAACTCAATTGGAAGAATTCAAACATAAGGGCCTGGGAAAGATAGGAATGGATTTGGATGATGACATGTTCAAATACTTTGGTGAAAAAAGGGAGATTGAAGGTGCGGCAGTAGTTACAAGGACAATGAAGTCAAAGGTTGATTTTTGTCTGGAGAGAGATGATGATGGTGGATTTAAAGGAGATAGGTGCAGTCCCTGAAGAGGGATAACTGTTAACATCAGGTTAACATGTGGACCACAAAAGGAAGCTGATTGGTGGGCAATTCAGTGAAAATAGGATCAAGAGAACAGCACTTGGGTCACAAGGGAAAAAAATGAACTTGGAGATAATGTGAGAAACAAGAGAGAAACTACACTCGGGTTCATCACTAGGGGTGGAAGCTTCAGATCGAGTTTAGCCTAATGGGCCAGGAAAAAGGAATGAATTACCAGACACAACTGATCAGGTGGTATTAGTCTTAAACATGAAAAAGACTTGAGCTTGGTGCACTAATAGTTGGAATTAAGAGCGGAAAAACTTTGGGAGGGGAGTTTAAGAAGATAGTTTGCAGTACAGAAAAGACACCAGGGTAAATCTTTACATTCCAGGATACTCCAGGAATCATGAACAGCTTTAACAGACAACAGCAGGTCAGCTTAATGCTGCTTTATTTAATCGCTACATCTGATGCTATACATTCAGGACTGCATACTTTAGACTTAATGGAGTGTTTAATGGGGTAAAATCATGGTGCGAGAGAGCGAGAGCGAGACACAGAGGAAGGAAAAGAATTATTTTTTCACTGGTGACTATGGAGTCAGGGTCACTAGACACCAAGGTTATACACTGTCAGGTTGAACTTGAGCGACATTGAGAAAGAGGTCTGAAGAAAGCACAAGGTTCTATTCAGAGAGTCAAATGAAATAACTTCAAGGTTGCTAACACTGAGCTGTAATTAAATTGTTACTCATTCAGAGTCTGTTGGACAGGTATCATGACAACATGGTGCAAGGTTTGAAATCAAGAGTACTAATGGAGACGTAAATCTGTGCATCGTTCACACACTTAAGAGTACCAACCCCTTGTAGATTGTTAGGGCCATGCTGACATTAATTCTATGATATAAACTCTTTCCCCTTTTAATTACCCCTGTTAACGAGGACTGTGTACTCCTGAAATGCCTCCAATGTTTTTTTCTCTCTGTAATTAATGGCGTGGTACTGATTTTTGATAATCAATTTCATTAGTAGGTGATTAACAACAGAGAAAGATTGATATTCCTGACTTGCCTATTGAAAGCAGAATTTCATTCCCTTTGATATCAGGGAAAAGATGGCTTGAAATAATCTGCAACATATTCCAACTGGGCTGATTCGGTTAAACCTTATATTCTCAACTCCTTCCATGAATGAAGTAGTGGGGCAGATCAACATGCAATGTATTTTAGGTCAGATTTTATGGTGAGACATAGAGCTAAATGTTTCAGGAAATTGTCAAACTTATTTACAATGGCAACAAAGGCAAAAATAATCCTATTACCATCCATGAAAGCTTGCACTGCCTTGCTCACATTGTTGTCAAAGTGTTGTAGCACCAGGATAATTTCATTGTTACTTCTGTTTGGAACCACAGTTCGAACAGCAGTGATCTGGAATATGGAATAGAATCATTATTAAATTAATATTACTCTTCCTTTATAATGCTCACATCTGATTTTTATTGTTCTTTTTCATCCCCTCGTCAGAGATACCGGCACGTTGAAATCCATTTGATTAGTTCCTGATCTAGCTTCCATTCTTGGTAGAAGAGAGAGAATATAACATCACAAAAAAAAAGGAAAATACAAAAGGGAAAAGGAATTAAGATGTAGACAACTCCAGGCCATGAAAGAAACATTAATCCAAGCTGACAGAGCAGGACACACATCACAAAGCCAGTAAGTAAAGTGATAACATTGGGCAGATTTAATGTTGGGCTGAGGGAAACAGACTCTACACAGCCTGGCCAGAAAGGTGGGAGTCAGTAAAAGTGTGATTAAAGTGGGAATTGTTATTTAAGCCACACACAGCAGACTGTGAAGTTGTGAAAAAAAAACACAGAATCCTTCATTTTATCCGTGAAATGCGGGTCCCCTCCTTTTTGACCCTGAAAGGTGGGAATACTCCATAAGGGAAACTTGAAAACCAAAAGAGACCTATACATGTCAGATAGTCAGAAAAAGAAACAAAATCAACTATCTTCCACCCAGCAAACTACCAGGGTTTCACGTTCAAAGGAAATGCACTTGAATTAGCTTTATCATCACGTGTACTCAAATGAGTACAGTGAAAAGTTTACAGTCACCACATTATAGCACCATCTTGGGAGCATCATCTGAATTTATGAAACTGGAGACTTGAGCAAAGATGGGGTAACAGTAGATATAATTCAATTGACAAATGTATAATATTATTAATGGGAAAGAAAGCTTAGGGCGAGGGGGAAATACAAGCAGATGTACCCACTATGGTGGTGTCAAATGGACTATTGGGCAGAGCAGCTTTGGATATGGAAGGAGTAAGACCCATGATCTAGTCCTCAAAGTTTTTATTAAAATATCTATCCTATCACTGTAACCTATAACTAGATGCCAGTGCAAGAAAACATATTTTGTGAACTACAAGAGATTCATCTGGCCAGGTCAGGTAGTGGTTTCACATTAGATCCTGTAGTTTCCAACACATATAGAAGATGGTGTCAACAGCATCCATTATGAGCAGCCATGTAATAAGGTGGCACGCTTATACTACAGTTACCTGTGGAATGCAAGAGTTAAAGTGACCTACAGAGCTCAGATTAGTGTTAAATCAGAAGATTAGGCAGACTTTAAGAAACAACAAAAGAATAAGATGTGCCCTCCTCTACATCGGTGAGACCAATTGGAGACTTGGAGACAGTTTTGTAGAGCATCTGTGCTCTGTATGTGACAAACGACAACATCTTCCGGTTGCAAACTATTTTAACTTCCCCTCCCACTCCCTGGACGACATATCCATCCTGGGCCTCCTCCAGTGTCACAATGACACCACCAGAAAGTGGAGGAGCAGCACCTCATATTCCGCCTTGGGAATGGTCTCAATGTGGACTTTACCAGTTTCAAAATCTCCCCACCCCCGGCCTCATCCTATGACCATTCCCTTCCTCTCATCCCCACCTCCTTGACCTAATGCAACGTGTCCATCTTCTCTCCCACCTATCCACTCCTCCCACCTCACTGACCAATCCCCACCACTGCTTACCTGCACTCACCTATCACCATCCCATCTACCTTCCCCAGCCCCACCCCTCCTCTCTCTATTTATTTCAGAGCTCCCTTCCCCCTCCCCCATTTCTGAAGAAGGATCCTGACCCGAAACGTCAGCTTTCCTGTTTTCCTGATGCTGCCTGGCCTGTTGTGTTCCTCCAGCCCCACACGGTGTTATCTCTGACTCCAGCATCTGTAATTCTTGCTATCTCAAAAGAAAATGCTTTTTTGGATTAAATGAAGGAAGAAACAAGAATATGAGCAAAAGCTACCTGTTAATATAAATGCAGAGAGAAAGAGTTTCTGCAAATATTTGAAAAGGAAAACTCTAACAAAAGCTAGTGTTGATCCTCTAAACAGCATGTCTGGGAAATTGATGGGGAATCTTTGAACAAATATTTTGTGACCGTTTTCACAGAAGATGATATTAAAACCTTCCAAAAGCTAATTTAAAATGAAGAAGTGAGAGGGCAAATGAACGTAAAATAATCACCGTCACCAGGGAAACGGTCTGAGAAAACTGTTGACAAGTTGCCAGAACCAGACGATCTGCAGCCCAGGGATTTAAAAGAAGAGACAGCACAGACAGTAGAGGCATTGTTTATAATCTCCCTAAATGCATTAGATTCTGCTGGGTTCCAGTGGATCGGAAAATAGTAAATGTGAAACCTTTATTCAAGTGGGAATGGAGGCATAAGGCAAAAAACTGCAGGCCAGTTAAATTCCTGAAGGAAAAATCAGTGGAGACTAGTAAAACACTGCAGTGGTATACATGTTGCCTCTAACTAAAATAGCTGCTATTACCTGGGAACAAAGAGAACTGGGAACTCCAAATCAGAATCAATCTACACATATTTCTGTCCAACAATACCAACTGCAATCAATTGCTGGTGACTGGACCAGAAATAGACTGGGCAACAGGTCCAAAGAGCGTAGGGAGTGAGCAAGCCAGGTGAGCAGGGATGGAAAGTGGGAAGAACATGACGTGTGGCCTTGGGCTGAAGCAGAGGGAAGCAAAAGACCATAAGGCATAGGAGCAGAAATTAGGCCATTCGGCCCATCGAGTCTGCTCCGCCATTCAATCATGGCTGATAAGTTCTTCAACCCCATTCTCCCACTTTCTCCCCGTAACCCTTGATCTCCTTGATAATCAAAAACCTATTGATCTCAGTCTTAAATGTACTCAATGACCTGGCCTCCACAGCCTTCTGTGGCAGTGAATTCCATAGATTCACCACTCTCTGGCTGAGTTTCTCCTTATCTCCGTTCTAAAAGGTCTTCCCTTTACTCTAAGGCTGTGCCTCGGGTCCTAGGCTCTCCTACCAATGGAAACATCTTCCCAACATCCACTCTGTCCAGGCCATTCGGTATTCTGTAAGTTTCAATTAGATCCCCCCCTCATCCTTCTAAACTCCAAATGTGTATAGTCCCAGAGTCCTCAAACGTTCCTCATATGTTAAGCTTTTCATTCCTGGGACCATTCTCGTGAACCTCCTCTGAACCCGCTCCAGGGCCAGTACATCCTTCCTGAGATATGGGGCCCAAAACTGCACACAATACTCCAAATGTGGCCTGACCAGAGCCTTATAAAGCATCAGGAGTATATCCCTGCTTTTATATTCAAGTCCTCTCAAATAAATGCCAACACTGCATTTGCCTTCCTGACTACTGACTCAACCTGCAAGTTTACCTTGAGCGATTCTTGGACTAGAACTCTCAAGTCTCTTTGCACTTACAAGCAGAGACACACACGGGAAGGACAGAGAGAAATGTCAGGCCCCAAAGCAAAGCATTTTAAAATCGTTCATCTTTTACACTGGTTTCGGACACTGACCGCTGCTGGCAAGGCAATGATGGTGCCAGCCACAGAGATTTACTCCTTTACCTCAGTGTTGGATCTTGGAATCTCAAATGACTGCCAGCTGTTTTGGCCACTGTCAGTGACCCTGCCTGTACTGTTCTAAACTGGAGTGCTGGGTACTGACTGGCCAGCACTCAGTGACCCTTAGAGGTGATTGCCTTTTGCAAATGGCACTGAGCAGGGGCAGGTAGTTTGTATCTCAGCCTGAAAGGAGCCAACCACTTGCAGTGTGGCTGCTCCCTTTGTTGGGTGGATAAAGCCAACTACTGTTGACTGTTTCCAACTAATAACAACTGACCGGTCACATGCAGGAGGAAGTTAACTGCTCAGGAACCACAATTAGCTGTTTCTAACTTTCTTCACGTTGGTAACTGTTCCAACAATTCTGGGTAAAGTGTTTTTTTTCCCTTCTGGATATATATCTGCAAGACTTCAGGACAGAACTGACAAGTGTTAAGTAACTCTGGAAATTCAAGTATACGTTGTTTCCCTTGCAACAGAGCACCAACCGAATGGAACAGACTTTTGAAAAACGTGGGACTGGAATTTTTGAGACCGGCCAGGAGACAGAATGACTGGTAAAACTGAAATAAAACAAAGAACTTTAGATGCTGGAAATCTGAACTGAAAGCAGAAATTGCTACAGAAAGTCAGCAGCTCTGGTAGCATCTTTGAAGAGAAAACAGGGTTCACGTTTCAAGTCCAGTGATCTTGAAGAAGGGTTATCAGACTCTGTTTCCCTCACCACAAATACCACCAGACCTGCTGAGCCTCCCCAGCGATTTCAGAGATTGGTAAATTGACATCAGTAGCAGATTCTGACATCTCTGTGCTGCGTTGATGAATTCCCAGTGGCAGGAGCTAACTGGCTGCCCAACTGCGCCAATTGATGGAGACCTCCCATCTCCGCCAGTATTTTATTGGTATTGGGAATGGACTGCCATCAGGTAGACTCCTGTCATGAGGGGACCCTTCTTTGTGTCTGCTTCAGGGCTCATGGCTGCATCATGGCTAAGGCACCATTACTTAGGCAGGCAGCTCTAACATCATCAATTAGACAACAGTAGAAGCTGTGGCCTCCTAACCAACTGACACAGGTAACACATCATCCAGGTCCCACTCTTTGTCGATCCAAGGTCAGGTCTCACTTTTGGATTCGGTGATGGGACACCTTACCTTGTGGAAGCATTTCTGCCTGTGGTTTCTATTAATTAATTTATTTTAAAATGTAGGTGTGCAAATATCTAGTTATGAAAATGAAGTTTTTTTTTCTTTATTCATTCACGGAATGAGGACATTGCTGTCCAGGCAGCATTTATTGCCCATCCCTAATTGCCCATAGTGCAGTTAAAATTCAACCACATTGCTGTGGGTCTGGAGTCACGTGTAGACCAGACCAGGTAAGGATGGCAGTTTCCTTCCTTAAAGGGCATTAGCGAACCAGATGGGTTTTTCCTGACAATTGACAATGGATTCATGGTCATCATTAGATTCTTAATTCAAGATATTTTTATTGAATTCAAATTCCACCATCTGTCATGGCCGGATTCGAATCCACGTCCCCAGAACATTATCTGGGTCTTTGGATTAACAGTCCAGCGATAACACCACTAGGCCATCGCCTCCCCCAATGAAGATTTCTATTGACCCCAGTGTCAAAGACAGGTAATTTTATCTTGTTATCTATGGCAAGTATTGCTTCTTACGTTCACCTGGATCTTAGAATGTCACTTGTGGAATGAATGCAATTAGGCTAACATAGTCGATTGCAAAGTTAAATGGACATCCTGAAACTAGGGGACACAGTTTGAGAGTAAGAGGTCTTCCTTTTACAGAGATTAAGAGAGTGTTTCTCTCACATAAGGTTGTTAGATTGTGGAATTCTGTTCCCCAGAAGTTACCAGATGCGGTGTCCTCAACCTTGTTCAAAGCAGAGTTGGGTGGACATTTGATAGACAAGGGAATCACAGATTACGGGGTGGAGACAGGTAGGGGGGCAACGCCACTACCGGATCAGCCTAGATCTTATTGAATGCTGGAGCAGACTCGAAGAATTACCTTAACCTGTTCCTAAATCCTACGTATTTATGTACTACCTTCCGTTACAGGAATGAAATGTGACCACACTGTTTTTCTCTCTCATAGCTTTAAACCACATAAATATGATGCTGGGCATTTGTTCTGAACTCTTACCTTTTCCTTGAACTTTTCCTGAATATTGGTTTCAGACATTGCTGCCTTGGTGCTGACCTGAAATCCAACACCACTCCAATCGAACCTATCAGACATACCAAGCACAAAGAAGAATAAAAACTGTGTGTGTGCCTTAAATAACCAATCTGCAAGATTGAAACAGTTATTAGAGCACATTTAAGATTGAACTATGAGGCAAATATTATTTAACATTGGCATAGTTGCTACTTCCCTCCATGTCTGATAAATTCATTTACTGCTGGTTATCAGGGCTGTATCATAGAATCCCTACGGTGTGGAAGCTGGCCATTCAGTCCATCAAGTCCATGCCAACCCTCTGAACAACATCCCACCCAGACCCACCCCTCTACCCTATACCAGTAACCCTGCATTTCCCATGACTAATCCAACTAGCCTGCACATCCCTGGACACTATGGGCAATTTAACAAGGCCAATCCACCTAGCCTGCACATCTTTGGACTGTGGGAGGAAACCAGGCCACCAGAAGGAATCCCACACAGACATGGGGAGAATATGCAAACTCCACACAGACAGACAGTCGCCTGAGAATGGAATCGTACCTGGGACCGTGGCACTGTGAGGCAGCAGGGCTAACCACTGAGCCACCATGCCACCCAAAGTCCATCAGTAATAGTGATTATTTAATTCAAAAACGCAGTCATTTAATTCTGTCAAAATGCAAATTCGCCATGTAAAGAAAGTCAGGAAACATTCAGAAGGAACCAGCATCAGTGCTCAAAAAATTTATTAGTTGTTCGATCAATGTATATATCCTCCAAATCATTCATACTCGGTGCTTCACACAAATATCCACCCTGCTATTTATCATGATCATTCCCATTTCACCTTAATCACACCCATCCTTCGAGTCATCTTTCACTATATAACAAACATCACTCAAGTATCTTCCTCTGGCCACAAAAGTGTTACATGGTAGGGAACAAAAAAATAAATAGAATTGTAGCTTGTGGCAAAATCATTGGGCTGAATCTTAACTGCCAAGAACAACTGTGTTGGGCTCAGGTCATAGTTCATACAATCTGAAATAGCAACACAATCTGTCACAAGCCCATCCACTTAGTCAATGAGACAAAGAGTGACATTAGATGGAAGCTGCAAATTGATTGATTGCTGAGCTGCTGTTGTTAGGGACCGTGTTTCAAATCCATTCTAAATGAGCACAGGGAAAGTATGAATTTATAAGCTCAGGAGTGTGAGTGAAGAACTTTTACTTTCCACTGATCTTCACTCTGTAGTTAGTAATGACCACCACGTGATGGCACATCAACCAATAGGAGTGAGCAACGGTAGACAGCCATTTGGCAAAGCAAGTCTGGGGGTACAAGGGGCAGATGGTTAACCAGAATCTGGTCATGGCTGCCCATTTAGAACGATGGCACCTGGACCACAAACAATAATTTGGAGGCCAATGTTTTTGGCAGGAATATGTTTAAATTGTTTGAAAATCTGCAGCTAATGAGAACTTGGCTTTGCAAGTAGATGCTTTTTGTGCTAGTAGCAAATCATTCAGGACCCGTAGAGGAAAAGATATTTGAATACTTCTGACCCATTCCGCTTATGAACAGCAAGTGGCTGGGAAAAGCTCAAATGTAACTCTGTCTCTCCATGGGTGGAGCACAGAATGGATACACTGACTGCTAAGGGCTCCACAGTTTGACAATCCATCCCTCCAGGCTGTGTGTCCTAGTTGGAGGTATTCATAATGGGCGATAGAAGAGAACGCCTCCCATCCAGATATACCCAGCCTGGAAAGAGTTGCTGTGGCTGTCAGCAATCACTGGGTCATTCAAAGAACCTGGCTATAGTGCTGGAAGATATTGAATAATCTCCTGAGATCTACCAGCATGGTGTCTCATCGTTCTGTAGACGGACCTGGATGGAAGGGTGTGAAGTGGCTTGAGGACACTCATCACATGGCCCAAACACAGAGAAGATCATGATGCAGATGTGCCACTCTGCATGGCAAAGGGGGTTTTGCGAGGTTGAAGCGGGAGGGTATTGAACTACAACAGCTGCAATGGCAAGCAGCATTGAGAAACATTGGCCCTGACAAACATGCACGTTGGCCACACATCGGAAGGCATGATAACAGCTCAGCATTGTGTACGTTCTAATTTCCATGCATAGGTACAATGTCAGGGAATGGGCCAAGACCAGAGGTGGCCATCCTCATCCTACTAGAGATGGTGGTCCAGGAGCTAGACGCCCATCTCTGGAGCCAATCCACTGGCCAAGGTGAGGTTGGAAGAAGGCCACGGGCTGATGTTTTAAGTTAATCATGCGTGAGGAAGAAACTGACCATTAGGCCATCAGACAGCACTACTCTCTTTACCGGGTTCCCACTGATATATTACTCCTATGTCTGTAGTATCTCCTACTGGCCTATTAGCATTTATTCATCAACCAGATATTTCTTTCATCTCTGGTTTCATCCTCTTCCCAACAATCTGACTCATTGCCTGTATGAACTTTCTGCATATTGTCAATCTCTTCATTATTATAGCTCAAGGCAATAGTTTTAATTCCATGTCGACAAAATGCACAAGCGACTATTCAATATTTTGAGATTGATGTGACAGTCACACCATAGATCGGTCTGATAACTGTATTGAGGGCTGATAGGTGTCATTCAACAGGAACGACTGTACTCATGAAGAATTACAGGATCCAAATTCAATACTATTACCAGTAATTATGTATCGTCAGTTGCACATCCATTAACACTAAAGACTGTCATTGGTTCAGTTGGGAATTTCGCACAAAATCTCTTTAATACCATTTCTGCAAGTTTACATCCCATGTTTTTCTGAATTGTCACTAGTTCTAGGTATTGATCTCAAATAATTAATTCCAGCACAGCAAGCCTACTTGTGCTTCTTCTCTCTATATTATTCTTTTGCTAATTTTCATCCAGGCCTCTTTCTAATAAAAGAACTTCTCAAATCTATGTCCACACCATCAAAACATCCCACTTTTATATTTTAGTGATATTGAAAAGGAACCTTATTCCTAAATTCATCACTTTCATTGAGCATTTATCAAAATGAACATGAATTGAGCCTGTTTTAATATAATTCCTGTAACCAAACATAAATTACTTATGAGTCTGAGCTATTCTCTGGTTCCTCCTTTGATAAGTGTTCAGACATTTCATTCAGTTATATGTATTTAGCATAATAACTTCAACTGCCCTGTATAAAAGGATAATTCTGTGCAGTAAATTCTCAGCAGAATACTTTTCTTGTAAATTGCATATTAAACCAAACCTCCGACAACTCCAATAACATCCGGAAAACATGTAATATGCATCTTCAGAAAACCAGACCATGGTTTGGCCCAAATAAAACATCAGTAGCTTCATCCACTAATGCTATTAGTATTGCTGTTAAGTTCCCTTCTATCAACAAAAGTGATAGTAATTTTCACTTTGGCCTCAGGTACAAAACTGGCCAAATCATACACCGTATCAGTTTTCCTATCCACTGATTTTGAATTAGGAACAGAAAGCAAGACTACATGATTTTTTTTTTCTATATTTTGCTGCCAAAGAAAGCTACTTGCCTTGATTACATGCTGTAGTGGTGCCAAGAACAGCATGCAGTTTCAAAGCCAAAGGCATATGATAGCTTAGGCTTGCAATGGATTTCATTTTGGGCCTCCAACTGTTTTATACCAGATCATTATTTGTGAAACTCTAGCCGAGACTTTCCAACTTGTAGCCAAAGAATGAGGGCAGATGTTTTCAACTGACTCCCTGGACCCACAAACAAGAAAACACACTAGACTGATCTCCAATCAGCTTGCTAAGCTCCTAAGCCAATCACACGCCTTCATGTTGAAGCCCTGCCTCACTGGGCACTGCTAGCCAATAAGACTGAAACCTGAAGTTTAAATGAGGTCTGAGTTGGGGATATCAGGGCCATTGTAAATAAAAACCGAAAGAACTGTGGATGCCGTAAATCAGAAACAAAGACAGATGTTTCTGGAAAAGCTCAGCAGGTCTGTGAAGAGAAATTAAAGTTAACATTTCAGGTCTGGTGACCCTTCCTCAGAAGCATAACTTCATTTCTTTTCTACCAACTGTATCTCAACTCTCTAGCTGCCACTAATAATAGCATCTTATTCGAAGATAATATCATTACTTTAAACTTCTTAAGAACACTGCTGAGCACAAGTTACTTTATCGAAAAACTTCTCAGCACTTCAGAACTTGATTATATATGTTTCTCTGTTGAACGCACAGGCTCAAAATGAAAGTCAGAGTCGGCAAAGTTCTCCCTTAATCCACCTGGGTAGTTTGCTAAGAATTCTGGTTTACCGAATTTCACTTAGACTTGTAGGTATTGTAGTCTTTAAAAATTAATTGTTCACTCCATACACACAGGCAAACCCATATTCATAGAATCCCTACAGTGTGGAAACAGGCCCTTCGGCCCAACAAGTCCACACCAAACCTAGAACATCCCAGCCAGACCCATCCCCCTGTAACCCATCTAATCTACACATCCCTGAACACTATGGGCAATTTACCATGGCCAATTCACCTAACCTGCACATATTTGGTCTGTGGGAGGAAACCCACGCAGACACAGGAGAATGTGCAAACTCCACACAGACCGTTGCCTGAAGGTGGAATCGAACGCAGGTTCCTCATGCCGAGAGGCAGCAGTGCTAACCACTGATCCACTGTGCCGCCCCTTATTGTTTAAGTTCAAATTCCAAGACGCTAAACTTGCAGAAAAATTACAATAAAATGCAAACATGTATATAAAATCACGCAGCTTTATCACGGTGGGTCAGTGGTTAGCACTGCTGCCTCACAGCTCCAGGGGCCCGGGTTTGATTCCAGCCTCCGGTGACTGTCTGTGTAGAGTTTGCACATTCTCCCCGTGTCTGCGTGGGTTTCCTCCGGGTGCTCCGGTTTCCTCGCACAGTCCAAAGATGTGCAGGTTAGGTGGATTGGCCATGCTAAATTGCCCATAGGGATGCGTAGATTAGGTGGGTTATAGGGGGATGGGTCTGGGTGGGACGTTCTGAGGTTC